TATAGGTAAAGTAAGAAAAAAACAAACATACTAAAATAATGTTTATTTTTCAAGTTGATCTACAAATATACGTTTGTACTGTAAAATTTCATGAAAAAGAAAATGAAATAGATGTAAATCGACAGTTTTACGGCACTTAACTTAACACTTTCTCATTAATTGTTGTCAAAAATATTCAATTCCTTTGACTATTTACCTCACAAAATTTAAGCCAATCATATCTTTTACATTTCTGAGATTCATCCAATCAGATTCAAATTAGGCGACAATCCGATATTTTTCCCGTGTGCTAAATTACCGCGAATCTAGGTGGACGAATATTAGAAATTTGAAAAATCTGATTAACATAAATATATATTTTTTTAATTTCTCATAATGAAAATATGGTTTTTACAAATTTTGTTCGGGAAATAGTCTGCAAATACGCCTTCTGCATGCCAAATTGATTCTAATTTGAAATTATCGACAATTTGGCATGTACTCGAGATATTACTATTGATAATTAAAAAAGGTTTGGTAAAATATTTTCGTCAACAGTTAAGCAAAAATGGCAGCTTATGTGTATAGTACCTAGTACCTAGTATACTATAATCATAATATTATATACAACATGTAGTTGAGAAAACCCAATTGTGCCGAGATTTTAAAAACACAGCTTTTAATAATTTAAAAAAATGTGTAATAACATACAACTGAGTTAAGCTTTATCGTTCAAAGCAATAGTTTCAGCGACATTTCCTTGTTCATCTTCGACTGGTTCTTTCCCAAACAAGAATCTATAAAACAGAGCACCGACGAAACTAGCACTTAAAGGGCCAACCCAATAAATCTGCAACCCCAAAATTAGCATAATTTACCCCAAAACTCCCAAAATTACCCAATGATTTTCCCAGTCTCCATTTATCAACGCCGGAGCAAAACTCCTCGCCGGATTCATATTCCCTCCACTGTATGGTCCCTAAAACAATCATTTGCATTAAAATCCCAACAAATAACAAAAATTGTACCCCAGCTAAAGCCAAAACAGCAATAGCCAACCCGAATCTAAGCGGAACGGAATCGTGTTTTGTATTGTTTCTGCAGTCCCAAACTCCACAACACACAAGTGTGAGCATTAGAGAAATAAGAAATTCGATCAAAAGGCCCTGGAAGGGGGTGACTCCCGGGTGGAGGGCTGGCGAACACAAGCCCACACTTGTTGAATTAGTTTCGAAATATTCCGTCGGGGTGGCCAACTGTAAAAATATTTTTACTCATTTTTTAAATTGTACTTAATACTCAAAAGTTACCTTCACTAAGCCAAAACCAGTCAGGGCTCCCAACATTTGGCCAACGAAATAAATAGGTACTTGAATTAATGGAATGTTACCTAAAGTGGCGGCTGCTACTGTTACTAATGGGTTAATATGAGATCCAGAAATATGACCAAAACACTAAAAAAAAATTTATTCACTCATTTTTTTATTAATTGAAGGGAAAAATCACCTGAACTGAGACCATGACAGCAAGTCCAAAAGTAAGACAGATCTGTAAGTGAGTGGGAGGAATACCGAAATTTATGCATCCAGCGCATCCAAGAAATACAAGAATTGCAGTTGCACAAACTTCTGATGCACAAATAACGACGCGGTCCATCGTGGTTAAATTATCACCGACTTGTATTTTTTTCCCTGAAAAACAGGTAGGACGTTTAATGTAATTCAATCGATGCACTTGAACCAAAAGAGTATAATAATAATAGTACTAATAGGTAGATAGTGTGTTGAAAAATATGACGATAAGATACAACAATCTCTGTAACACCATTTGTGCATTTATGTTGTTTATTAAACATTTTTACATCATTATTTTAGGTCTGCTAGAATTTTAATTTTACTTATATTGAAAAAAAAATTACAGATAAAGTCTGTTTCATTTAATAAACAATTGTCAAATGTTGTTTTGTTGGTCTACTCTCTTTTTACAAATAACACTTTATTGGGAGATAATTGAAAAACTTCATGTAATATCAATTGCATAAGTTTAGTTTATTAAAGATTAAATTTGCGTAATTCATAAATAATAAAAAAGTATGATAATTTTATTAATTATTAACGATTACTTTTGATTTTGTTTTAGAATTCTCAAGTGTATGATAATGATACTTTTTTAATAAATAAAATATAAAATATGATAAATTGACTGTTTACCCTACATAAAATTGCCCTATTTACCGTTTTACGCTGTTAAAAAAGAATAAACATTTTAACATGTCACAATGTTATCTTTTTTGTTGTATCTTATATCCGTGATACCATTATATTGACACATTCTTGTAATTTCATTGCCCTTATAAATAAAATTGTTACAATTTTGTTAAAACAGTAAAAGTGGAAAAAAAATAATTGGAATTTATTATTGTTTATTTATTTTTTTCTACTCCTACATCTAAAACACAGGTTATCGTATATGTTTCCATGACGCTAAGTTATCTTTTATGCAGGGTGTGTCAGAACTTGAGCCGCAGAGAAAAAAATTTCAATACCAGGAACATGGAAAAAGTGTTCAAAAAAATCTTGACATTTATTGTTTGACATGTGACATTTTTTATGTCTATTTAATGATACTGATGATCTTGTACGAGTATATGTTTTTTTTATAATTATTTAGAAGATACAAAAATTTTGACAATAAAAGCCACAAATAACATTACAATTTAGGAAACAGCATCCTTGTTTCGTCTTCTAATAGCCTGTAGCAAAAAAACTTAGAAAATTATTTTTCCAACAGAAATAAATAGTCAAAGTGCGAAATTTAAACTCTCATAACTTCAAAATTTTTATACAGTATGTCGCCGGATTGATTTTACGCTAAAACTGCAAAGGAAAAACATTTTTTGCTTCACTTGAAAGAAGCAAATCATAATTAAAACTTCATTATTCTGATTCATTGAAAAGAAAAAGTTAATTTTTCTCTCGATTTTGGACTTAAAATAATTTTTCTCTGCTTTTTAAATCTCATCACATTGGCGGTTTTGTCTTTTTGACAATAATGTCACTTTGACAAATGAGTTTACGCAACTTAAAGAACAAAAATGTTTGTGAAAAACATAATTTTAATAAATGGCAACTCAAAGAAACAGCTTTAAGATAAGAAACAAAGTCATTTTAACAAGAACTATCATTATTCAATCAACAAATTAATTGTCAAAGTGACATTTAGTTGTCAAATAAATAAAACCGCCAATGTGATAAGACATAAAAAGCAGAAGATAAATTATTATAAGTCCAAAATCAAGATAAAAATTCACTTTTCTTTCTACTAAGTTAGAATAATGAAATTTTAATTTCAGATTTGCTCGTTTCAGGTATAGCAAAAAATGTTTTTCCTTTGGAGTTTTAGCGTAAAATCAAAGGTTTTTTTTTCCTTAGGAAACTTAATCCGGGGACATACTGTAGATAGAATTTTTTTAACGTTTTTTCCATGTTCCTGGTATCTTATCTTACATGGCATTTTTTCTGGGGCTCGAAGTCTGGCGCACCCTGTATAGGTATGTACATACATACATACAACTTGACAAGCCTTGTCTAATATGCGTCAGTTATGTTGTGTAAGGAACCCCGAAATTCAAAAATAAACTTCGGCGAACATAAAATGATTTATTTATTAATAAATACAAAAGACTGATTGCCCGGTTGAGAGCT